AGGGGGGGGCAGGCTCCTACAGCAGTTCTTGGAGAGGAGCTTAGCAGCCACATGATCGTCTTGACCGTAGTAAGGATCACGCAGATTTTTTTCCGACAGTAGATCGTCTGGATCCGTCGGTTTTTGCATGTCTGTACGGACATTCCTCGCCACGCCTACACTCACCCAAAAGGAACAAATGTGCGGTCTGTTTCGGCGATAGTAGGGCGTTGTCCTGGCTAGTTTAAGAAGCATGTCTGCACCACTCGCACCAGCGCCATGAGCTGCTGCATTTGTACTGACCAATTGCTTTCCAACCAAGTCATGACCGCCATACGGTGCATTGACATCACCAGCTACCTCCACCAGTTGAAGAACTCCCACCATCTGGAGCTTCCTCGCTGACTCGTGGCCCTCCGCCCCCACCACTGACCCTACCGGCAATCGCTGTGGCAGCCGCTTTGAACAACCACCGACCTAAGGATGTACAGTCCTTGCTATGCCAGCTGAGCTATCGCCGGGCAGCAGCCACCACCACGTGTTCCCTGATGAAATATACGTGCACGACGGTGAGTGGCTGATGAATCACGTAAAAACGTTCTTCCGTGCCGAGGACAGGCCCCTCCTGCCCCCATCGTCCATATCTATAAGCTCAGAGGTAACCGTCAATTCTGTGATAATCGCAGAGGTACATATATCGTTTCCCAACATCTTCGCTCGCCTGCTCCTCAACAGTCTCAACGGCCACGTAGAACAAGGACTGCTTCTGGAAAGCCAATGTGGCTTTCGACGACACCGCGGCACCACTGACATGATCTTCGGCGTTCGCTAGTCACAAGAGAAATGCCAACAGATGCGGACCCATTTCTACACTAGCTTCGTTGACACAGTAAATCACGATGGACTGTGGAAAATCATACAGAAATTCGGATTTTCTGAGCGATTCACACACGGCAGCTCCGAAATGGTATGATGGCACACGTCACAGACAACGGGACAATCTTCGAAGCATTCGCAGTGCCCAACAGAGTGAAAGAGGACTGCGCAGTGGCTCCCACCCTCCTCCGTCTCATGTTCTATGCCATGGTGGTGGACGCCTACCGTGACGAGGGCCTCGGAATCCGCATGGCCTACACAATCGATG